ACTCTCTATTGTATGAAAACCACTAAATAATAACTTTATTTAGTGGTTTTCATACAAAAAAGAGTAGCGGTATTCATTGAATTGTGTTCAAAGATATGTGTTATTTAAATTAAAACTCAGTATGTTTATTTTGTGTTTATTTTTTTACAAATCGTAGGCCTATATGTTAACATAATGTTTTTTAATAAGCATATAGTAACAGATTCAACACCAACTTACTGACTATTTATTATTATCAGTCAGGTTATTGTCTGATCGTAATATAGCAAATTTATTAAAATCTAGCGCGCCTCTGTTATTTATCTTATGTTTATGTTATTAACAATACAAAAAACTTAAGTGGTTAGTACAACATGCTCATCTTGTTTTCAATTCCAGTTTAAATTTAGTTCAAATTAAATATTTGATAAAGAAAATGTCACTAATTAAACCAAAGAAAAATGACATTGTACCAACAAAATTAATAAAAGTTATTGATAGCTCTTATGAAGATTTAACTAAAGTTAAGGAGGCATTGCACACTCAAAGCAACATTTCAAAATCTAGGTTAGCTGCATTGCTTACTATTAAATCAGTCAAGCTCTTTTGGAATAAGGCTGGCATTCTTTATAAACAAGACAAGTACAGTATTGAAAATTTTTTAAGGCTGCATGAAAAATGGAGGTTGCTTTCAAAATCTAAAAGTAGAATTTCTAATAAGAAGAGTTTACTTGAACAAAACTTTATTCAATCATTAGATGGCATTTTTGATATTAGTCATCCTAAAGATGACATTAGAAAAACCAGATCAGCTAAGGATGCAGATGAAGACATTGCCTGGTTTACAGCTCTTTAAAATAAAATAAAAACTGGAGGAGTTGGTTTAAAAGATAATGTGCTACATTCTAGTGTTAGGAGAAAAAAAGAAAGAATTGAATAGAAACAGGTTGCAACTGAAAAGGAAAAAATAAGAAAAATAGATAAAAGAAACTTTTCAGTTGGTTTGTTATAGTAGTGACTCAGCTGAAGATTCTTATGTCACTAAGTCTATTCGTTCTATGAGTTCTGCATATCAAAACTCTCCTAAAAGTAATCCTGAGTTTAATATTTCTAAAAGGCAGCAAGGAGAAAAAAAAGACACCAAATCGGATAGTATCACACTGGTTTTGCCAAAAAACTTCATTTCTCACCCAATGATATCAGCAACTGCAGATAGAACTAAGCTATCAAATCCTCAGCTGATGATGAATACTTCTGCTATTCCAGTTTTAGGTTCGTTTTTTATTGTTAAATAAACAAGATTATTATATTCTTTATTTTTATAAAGGTGGTATTAATCCTGACGATGTTAGCCTTTCAATAAATACTATAAGAAGATTACGAAAATTAAATAGGCAAGTAATGGCATGGAAAATAATGATAGAATTTCAAAATAAGATTAAAACAGATTATTTGACACTTCATTGGGACGGAAAACTTTTAAAACAAATCTCAGGGCAAAAGTTTGAGTATTTAACTGTTTTGGTCAGTGGCTTTTCTAATGGTGTTGAAAGAAAAATATTATCAATAAAACCTATACAGTCTGGAACAGGACTTGCTATTTGTAAAGGAATCTTGGAAGACTTAGAGGAATGGGATGTCAAAGCCAACATTGTCGCCCAGGTTTTTGATACGACTGCATGTAATACAGGAGTTAGGAATGGAGCTGCAATTCTTTTAGAGGATTGTAAATCAATAAAAACTCTTCTTTGGCTGGCTTGTCGCCATCACATTTTAGAATTAATCTTAGAAGCATTTTGGAGCTCCTTATTTAAAAAAGAAAAAAAAGCTAGTTATAATATAGATATCAATGATTTTCAACAGAATGGATTTGTGCAGAGAAGAATTTAAAATTCTTTTCTTTAAACGAAAGCAGACGAAACTCGTGTGTTCTTAAAGAAACAATTAAAATGTAAGTATCGCCGAGGTGATTACAAAGAAGCTGCAGAGATAGCACTTTATCTTATAGGCGGATCAGAACCTAAAGTATGGAAAATCTGTGGAGCAAATCATCATGCCAGATGGATGTCACACTTGTTGTATGCACCGAAGATGTTCATCTTTAAAGAAGTTTTACTCGATTCTGATATAGAAAAGTTAAAAATCTTTTTGACTTTCAGCTCAGTTTTATATGTCAAAGCTTGGCTAGAAGCAACAAAGGCTCTGATGCACCAATTAACAATATTAATTTATACAATGGTCTAGGCGCTTAGGGCAGATCTCAGGCTTCTCTAACGCAGCTCAAAAAGCTCAAGAAGTTCTTAACAGGCACTCATCGTATTTAACTGAGGAGATCTCAGTTTTCAGTCTTATTTCAAATAAGGTTTCTGCTAAATAAAAGGATTACATTGCGTTAAAATTGATAGATGTAGGAAAGCCACTTGCTATCAACTCTGTAAAACCTAATCTTCCATCTATTCACTAGAACTTAGAAAAATTGCCGTATATTAGAAAAAGATCTTGGTTGCTCTTTCATAACTTAAACGATAAAGGTTAATGGCTCAAACTTCCTCCTTCAGAATCGGAGGAAGATGGAAACTTTTTAAAGATGAAACATTTTATCAAAACAGTCAAGTTTACAAACAATTTTGTAGAGCGAGGAATCAAGTTATGTTCGGATTATCTTCAGATACTCACAAAGGTGAGAAAAAGGTATTTTTAAAAAGTATTTAAAGTTTAACTCAGATTTTTTTTACAGAATGTTTGGCTAATTTTAGGATGAGGCAGTACGAAACGAAATAATAGAAGTCGTTAAAAATCATAGAAAACTTGTTGGTAATTTCAATAAGAAGGAATTATTTTCTGACTTTGTTCAATTCAAATAACAATTTTCGTTATACAATTCATCACTGCACGAGATAGCACCTTGCTTATATATAATAATGGGTTCGTTTTTTAAAGATAAAATATATTTTGTGCGATAATTAAAGCATTTTAAAAATTTGGAATAGATGCTAAATATGTCCCGATACCACATCACCTAAGTTTTTGTAGTGATATTTTTGCGTAAAAACGACAGTACTTAAAAACATCATAGAAAACTTTTTTTTTTTTAATATTAATTTCTATATGGTAAGGAACAAATTTTTATGCAACCACGTGTAATTTTTAAAATTTTTAGATTTTGGCCTGCCATTATATACATATATATATATATATATATATATATATATATATATATATATATATATATATATATATATATATATATATATATATATATACATAACAAACTAACAATTATTTAAACTTTTATTTTAAAAAGTAAACAATATCAATTCTTCTTGAAAATAAGTGCATTAGCTCCAATTTGCTTGCTGGTTTTACTCGAAAGACCGCGTGGAATATATAACTGCGCTTAGAAAAGTCTAGAAACAACTTAAAAACTAAGAAATAGTGTATTTTACATAATGCAGAACCGTAATTAACAAAACAAACAATAGGCGTAACAATACGTAAAAATGCGCACTAATAATATTCATTTCCGTATTAATATTTAGATAATTATAGTAATAAAAATAATATTAATAATAACAATAATAATAATAAAAGTATTATAATGGTACCCAGTAAACATGCCCTTGTAGAATTTCAGTGAATCTTATAAGCATTTTGAGCGAACCGTTGTAATTTTGCCTATCGGTTACTTAGTGGACCATTAGTAGCAGCGACCAAAAGTAAGTTGCCTAGAATTAAACACTTTTTAAATATCGGAGAGTTATCGGCTTGCCATTTACTTAGTGGTCCACTAAGTTACCGATAATCAAAACTCCAATAAACCGCTAAAAAATGCCTATATAATTCTACAGCAAGTCAACTAGAACAATGTTTGTTGCGTAGTTAGAGGCAAACATTTATTTATAACATTAAATCATTGGTTTATTAGTATGGTGTCACTCATAGAAAAATCCTTTTAAAAGATTGAAACCAATTTTTAAATATAATATAAGTAATAAGCAATTACATTTATTGACGCACATGGACCGTAAACACACTGTGTATTGAGTTATAAACACATAGAGCATACATAAAATATAAATGTGTAGAAATCAAAGTTTGCAGGTTATAATAATTACTATAATGATAATAATGATAAAAAATTAAACAAAAAGTGCTGATAATAACTAAAGTAATAAATAAAAGAATATTTTAATAGTAAGGATAATAACAATGAAATAACTAAATTGAAAATATGATAACTTTATTTTCATAAGTAATTTTTTTATGTCAATTAGTTAGACCTTTAAAAAAATCAACCTAATAAGTTGTTCTACAAAAAAAAAAGATCTATTAAAAAGTGGAACTAACTTTTAGATAACCTACTGAGACCTAAGTTTTATTCAACTGATCATAGTCTTTTTTATTTTCAACTGATTCATGGCGTTTTTGTTTTCGACCAATTTATGGTCGAAAACAAAAACGCCATGAATCAGTTGAAAACAACTGATTTGAACAAAATCCAATTTCAACTGATTATCCGGTCTATGTTTTTAAAAAAGATAGTAAGTCAACAACAAGTAGGTTAGGAAACTAGTACTACAGGTTTTAATTAGGTGCAAATATAAAAATCAAAATTCGTCGGTCAAAAATCAAAAACACCATTATCTACAATATACAAAATTACAAAAAAAGTTTGAGTTATAGGCCACCTAAGTTTTTAATTTAGTATAGTTAATGTAAATTATTTATGAAAATGTGAATGTAACAGATCAGAGAAAATATTATCAAACAATATACAACCTTTACAGTGAAATAGATGGGCTGTGATTCTATAAGAATGTTGTTAGTCTGTTAAGGTTGGCAGTACCACATTAAATCTAAATATATAGTGCCCATTTAAAGCTAATTTATCCAAAAGTCTCATAGCTCTGTTGCTTCGCAACAGGATGGTTTTTTTTGCTTAGATATTCCCCTTTTTAAAAATTATATTTTACTAAAGATTTTGAATTACAATTATATACTGTATTATAATTCTTATTTAGGAGAAGATGCTGGATTAATTGGTTCTTCATTGTTTTTTTCAAGAATATTTAGCAGGTTTTTTTATCTTGTAAAAAATCCTATTGTTAATAATTACTATTTGTTAATTTAAAACTGTGTGTGTACGTTTTTAATAAGCTCCTAAAGTAAAATTTTAATAAACTGATTCTCTAGGCGTTAGCAATATTATGAAAATAATTTTGTTTTACAATTTTTTTCACAATTTTTTATTTCTTCATTATTAGCCTTTGGTGGTAGTATTAACATTTTTTTCTTTTTTATTTTGCGAAAAAAATGCTAAGTTTGTTATTAAAGTTATTTTACTTTTTTTTATTGCGACTGATATACTTTATATATGTATATATATATATATATATATATATATATATATATATATATATATATATATATATATATATATATATATATATATATATATATGTATATATATATATATATATATATATATATATATTATATATATATATATATATATATATATATATATATATATATATATATATATAGATAGATATATCTAGATATATATATATTTATGTATATGTATATATATATATATATATATATATATATATATATATATATAATATATATATATATATATATATATATATATATATATATATATATATATATATGTATGTATATATATATGTATATATATATATAATATATATATATATATATATATATATATATATATATATATATATATATATATATATGAATATATATATATATATATATATATATATATATATATATACATATAAAAATATAAATATATATATATATATATATATATATATATATATATATATATATATATATATATATATATATATATATATATGTATATATATAAACATATATATATATATATATATATATATATATATATTATATTTGTATATATGTTATGGTTTTTTTAGTTTATACTAACATAATTTCTTCATTTTTTATGTTTTTTGAAGCTTACTATGGGGTTACTTTGCTGATAAATATGGTAACAAAAAGTTGTTGTTTTTATCATCTATTTGTATTGCAATTTCCACACTCGCATTTGCTTTCAGTCGATCATTTACTTGGGCTTTTGTTACAAAATTGTTGCAAGGTGCAGCAATGGGTTAGAAAAGTTTTTAATTTAAATTTTAACTTTTATTGTACTTTAATATAAACTAAAATAATCATCATTTTTTATTGTGGTTTAAATTTGTTGCAATTTTTTTACACGATTGTATTTGATTCAAAAAAAACTAATTTGCTTTTTTTTTTCAAATATAATTGTTTAAGTTACTGTTTCTTTTTCCAGAAAGTATTAAAATTAAAGTTTTTTTATAAATTGTTTTTAAAGTCTTTGATAAGTTCACATTACACAAGTTATTTTAGATTTATGCAACACTCACAAAACTAATTACATAACAATTAATTAACAATTACACAAAAATATATATTTTTGTCATAGATTTCTCATAGATTACCTGCACAAAACTCACACACTATTAAACTAATTACTCAATATACACTTAAACCGCACACAACACTCACACAGCACTGGCAAACCACATATAGTTCTTACTCTCAACTATAAAGTTAGTTTAGTAACTGAATAATAAATGCAGCCATACAAAAAAATGTATACTTTAATGACTTTTTATATTTTTTATTCAAAGTCTGCTGAATTTAGATATAACTAAAATCAAATTTGATTATGAATAAATAAAAGACATTTATTCTATAGAATACACATATAACTAACGTTAGAGTCAACATAAACTCAACAATTACTGGTGTTGATCTACCTGACTTCTTAGAAGAATCATATATATATATATATATATATATATATATATATATATATATATATATATATATATATATATATATATATATATATATATATATATATATATATATATATATATATATATATATATATATATATATATATATATATATATATATATATATATATATATATATATATATTTATATATAAATTATTTCTACTAGAAAGACTTCCTAGTAGAATCAGGTAGTTTTGTCCGACCTAAAAATCACCTTCAATTTAACGGAGATCCATTGGTAGAACCAGTCACTTTGCTTGAAACTGTATCACCACACTCTGCATGTATAAAATATATGAATGGCAGAATTGATACTGTATCAACGCGACATCTAACAACATATGTCACTCCCCACATTAAAGATATAATCCAACCCCCCGAAAGCTACAAACGTTAGCAGTAACTTTGAAACCGATGAAAATAACCTGATGTTATCAACAGATTTCCATTTTCTGTCTGTCACTAATGATTTACCTTCTTCAAATAAAACGACTACTAGTACCAATATTACACCATCAATAACTCAATATCCTGACGTCACTACTACACAAAACTTACTTTTCAAAAAATATTTTATGGGTGTCATGCACTATCTATGATAGATTTCTCTATTATTTTAAATTTTGACTAAAGTGCCTGAAAATGTTAAACCTAATAAAGCATTGAAATCAATTGTTGTTGTAATCTTATACATATAACCATTGACTTCAAACTAAACTTTTATCAATTAAAAATTACCTCTTGAAAAGCCATACTTACTTGCTCTTTGTAAGACTATATGAATTTATTAGTTTAAATTTAGTTGTTTCAATTAAGGCTATTAGTTTTAATAACTATTCAGTGTGAATAAAAGACTTTTAAAAATACTACAACATGTAGTATTTTTGTTATTTAAAACTAATTACAGCAGTGTGAGTTTATGTTTCCGATAACGTAAATATATATTTTATTTTACAATTATTCAGTAAAAATAATATTACATTAATAATTATAATATTTAAAAGTAAAATTGTTATTTTTTTCATTATTATTGACTATGGTTTCATTAAACGCATTCAAATAATTATAGTGTATAATTGTTAAGGTGTCGTTATTATTACAAAAAGTATTGTGGTAGATGTTTGTGATGACACAAATGTATCTTTGGCTTTTTCAATTTTATTTACTGGCTATCACCTTGGCGAAGTTATAGGGCCAAGTTTATCAGGTAATTTAATTTAATAATTTAATTTTTGGACTTATAAATTTTAGTTATTGACTTTTAGTCGAAAACTTGTTGTTTGAGCAGGATTTCTTTTCTTTTATTTCTTAATTTCATTGATAAATATTTTTTTCTAGATCTTTTTTTATTTAATGTTTCTTGTGTCTCTATTTATTTTTAATTCTATTTTTCTTATTATTTACTTTGGTTTTGAGTTGTAACAATTTTTTATTGCTGGCAACAATTAAAGCTCGTAGTAATAATTGAACCGTTAAAAAAGATTGCGCTACATAGTTATGCCTCTCCTTTATCATTTTTTATTGTTTTAACTGTCTCTCATTGCTGAAATATAGTTAGAAAAGATAGATAGAAATTGAGTTTAAATAATCTATAACAACTTACAATTAAAAAATATATATATATATAATTTATTTGAGATTTTAAAAAAAATTTAGTCTTATAAAAGAATGTTTATAAAAGATTTATATAAGTATTATAAGATACTATATTTTCAAAACAATTACTACACTTTTTACTTTTTATCCTTGATAAAAAAATTAAATAAATAAAGAACTATTTTTTCTTTATTTTTTAAATAATTTTTTCAATTTATTGTTTTCAATAACTTTAAAAGTTATAAATGCCAACCGGTCTCGTTAAAGGTTTTTTAATTATGAATAATATTCCATATTAAAAGCTTCTTATTAAAATTGTTAGTCAAATACGGTTTGCTATTACTTCAAATAAAAGTTAATAAAGTGTTTTACTGTACTACTGGTTTGTAGGTGTATTACAATTCAAGTTATAGATTTTTATTTTAGGAACTTTTATACCAATTTTTTAAAATGTTTAGAAATGTTTTATATATATATATATATATATATATATATATATATATATATATATATATATATATATATATATATATATATATATATATATATATATATACATATATATATATATATATATATATATATATATATATATATATATATATATATATATATATATATATATATATATATATATATATATATATATATATATATATATATATATATATATATATATATATATATATATATATATATATTTAAATATATATATATATATATATTTAAATATTTATATATATATATATATATATATATATATATATATATATATATATATATATATATATATATATATATATATATATATAAACAGTATTGGACAAAACATTTGCAACCAACATCAAACAATGCTCAAAAGTGTTCCTAGTTTTACATGTCTTAAAAACGAAACGAACTATACTACCACGGCAAAGACTTCAGGAGTCTGGAGTCATAGCATGCTATGACATGAGCAATCAGCTGACAGGTGGCAGCACACAGGCAGAGTTTTTTTGACAAGTGCCATTATGCAGTGGGCAAAACAAGTGCAACTTTTTTGGTTTGTTCCATTTTCATACGTCTGGTCCGTGTCAATGTCACGAAAGTCCTTTAATATTTAAAGGAAGTATCCAAAAGATTCCAAAAGTTTCTCGAAGAATGCAGAAGCTTCCAGTAGTTTCCAGAAGAAGCATCTGGAAACATCCAGAAACATCCAGAAGTATTCCGTAACATTCAGAAGCATTCAGACGCATCCAGAAGTTTGCAGAAGCATTGAATAGAAGCATCAAGAATCTTCAAAACAGGTTTACACAGATTTATTTTACTAAATAAGAGACATGTAAACCGACATGTAATTCAGTTAGTATATGGAAGTCAATCAGCCAGTATTATCACTGTCCTGTTAAGTGATGGCATTTGCCGTGTACTTCGACTGGCCGGAAAACGCCTTGATTTTCGTTACTGCCGTAAGACCGTGAAGCATGGCGAATGCAATGTCATGGTCTAAGGATGTTTTTCTGCTAACGGTCTAGGTCCAATACATCAAAACTATGTCAAAATGGACCGTTTCATGTATAAAAAAATCCTGAAAGATGTTATGTTACCACATGCTGAATAGAATATGCCAATAAAATGGATTTTTTTGAAAGACAACAATCCGAAACACACTACATAAGTAGTCAAGAAGTGGTTTCAAGACAACCTGCATTCGGTGATGGATTGGCCGCCTCAATCTCCGGGTCTCAAACCTATCGAGAACCTGTAGGAGGTTGTCAACCACATAATTAAATGTGGAGGTGTTTGTAATAAGGATCAACTGTTTGAACAAATCCAAAAGGTCTGGGCAGCAATTCCACAAAGTTTCACTGATCACCTGATCGAATCTATGCCTCGAAGATGCAAGGCTGTGATCGACAACAAATAATTTGCTTAAAAATATTGATAGCGAAATACAGCTTGGTCAACATTTTGTGGAGTTGCACTTGTTTTGTCCAGAAGGAAATCAACTTTTTTTAATACTTTTGAGAAATTTATTATTTTCGTATACAAATAATTAACTTTGTGATGAATAAAACTTGAAGAACATTGTTTCTAAACAGTTACATTTCTCTAAATAGAAAAAATGCAGCACTTTTATATAAAGAATATATATATATATATATATATATATATATATATATATATATATATATATATATATATATATATATATATATATATATATATATATATATATATTTATATATATTCAAAACTACTTATTGCATTTTTCAAGTAATTAAAATGTCAATAACAATTTTGTGGTTTTGAAAGCGACCGCAGTACTTAGTAAAATGTTTTCATTATTCAACAGTTAAGCGTTGTTTAATACATGTTATACACTATTCACCAACTTATATTGCGGAAATTGCATTCTAAAATGCAAATACTAATCTCCCTATTAAATTTTGCAAGTATCCCCAACTGACGATTAATTAAACTCTGATAGCAATAAATATACTTATAATAACTTATTTAAAGATTACCTTTCGGTTTATGTCAATACTTTTGCTTGCCTAACTGTAGTGTTTGCGGGTTATAATAGTCTGGAGACAAGACACAACAATTAATGTTCGTATATTTAGTACTGTATTTGTGGTGGTGGTTACGTTAACATTATATTAGGTTTAGGAGGGTTAATAAAGGGAGAAAATTTAATGCCCATTTATAATTCATATATGAACACAATATTTTTATTTCTTTAGTATCTGACAGAACTAGAATACCAAACATTTCTACTGCATTATTTCAAAATTTTTTTTTTATTATTAGTCAAACTAAAGTTTGACTAATTTTAATTGAACTAAAAATTTAATTAAGTATATTTAATTAGACTAAAACCAACCTTATCTCCCACCCCTACTATTAGAAGGTAAACATTTTGTTACCAATTATAGTATACAATAACCGATTTTTAGTTCAGATTAGCAGCTATATATCAAAAACATTTGTTTTATATGTATTGATTCTCGAAATTGAAATGAACTATAATGTGAATTTGTATGTTTTCAATTGTTCTTGCTTCTACCTTTTTAAACTTAACTTTTCATAAAGGTATGGTAACTTATTTTTTTTAATAATCAAAATACACTTGCCGACATCAGATGTTGTTGTGGACATCGCAAAGTCATAGACTTCAACTTCTTGGTATATATATATATATATATATATATATATATATATATGTATATATATATATATATATATATATATATATATATATATATATATATATATATATATATATATATATATATATATATATATATATATATATATATATATATGTATGTATGTATATATACCAAGAAGTTAATTATAGTTTGACTAAAAAGTTAGTCGGGTATTTTTAGTTAACTAAAAGATTAGTCGGGTAATTTTAGTTAGCTGAAAAGTTAGTCGGGTAATTTTAGTTAACTAAAAGATCAGCCGGGTAGATTTAGTTAGCTGAAAAGTTAGTCGGATAATTTATGTTAACTAGAAAGTTAGTCGGGTAAGTTTAGTTAACTAAAAAGTTAGTCGACTAATTTTAGTTAACTAAAAAATTAGTCGCCTAATTACAGTTATCTAAAAAGTTAGTTGACTAATTTTAGTTACGGTTTTTTTAGTTTAGTAACAATTTTTAGTTTTGGTCAATAGGAACTAATGGTTAATAACATTAAACTAAAGGTTGCTTTATTAAATATTAAACAAAGTAATAAACTTTTATAAACTTTATGTTTGTTATGCTGTAAATTTGTTTCAACTTTTTTACTCCTCAAAGAAAAAAAAAGTCTAGAAAAAAATAAACAAATAAAATGCATTTTGTATTTCCGAATTTTATGAAAAGTTTTATTTTGTAATTTTTGTTATAACCTAAAAAATCAAGTGTGCTTTTTTTGACTTTTTATTAATACCTCTTGTATAGTGAAATAAAAATTTTATTAGTCCTTGGTATCTTATATTATCAAAGCTCATTTGTAACTGTACAAAAGAAATGTTTATTAAAAAAAAAAATATCACTTCTTCTGTTAAATTTTCAACTAGATTATTATTAATAAAGTGTTTAAAGGTTTAAGGATGATGTTTTATTAGAGTTAAGTAATAAAAATATTAGATATTTTTTCTTGCTTGTAATGTAAGTTTTCTTAAGTAGCTGTACAAAAAATTATTGTTCAGTAGAAAAACATAAAAATTTTATTTGTTTTGTTAAATTTTGAAACAAGGTATTAATATCCGTTTGTCATTTTTATATATATGTTAATGTACAATCTATAATAAGATTTTAATACCTTTTAAATGTGTTGATGAGAACAAAAATAAAGGGTTTATGAAAATAAAGCAGCCGTCGCGCAGTGGTAGCGCACTTGCCTCAAAAGTGTAAGATCCGTAGTTCAAACCCCACCTCTGGGTATATTTTGTGACATCGGTTGGGAAGGAGGCGTGAACTTCCTATTAAATGCTCTTTCGCAGTGCTCTGTGATAAGACCGTAAGGACTTCTTGGGGCACCTTAATCAATAAAAAAAAAAATAATAACAATAGTGAGGCAATTGCTTAGGTTATAAACAGTGTACTAAGTACTGTCTATGTTTTAGGTCCCGTTCTTTAAC